AAGTAACCTTTAAAAAAAAAAAACAGATGCCACTATATGAATTGAAAGCTACATTTTTCTACTATTTTGAAAAATTCTTTGAGATAGGGCCAAAGGATGAGGAAGGTCTTGTTGGTCTCCATCTCCCAATACGCTCTCGCCTGTTTCCGACCTTTCAGAAATTTCAACATATTTTTCTGAATCCGACATTGCAGCATGGCATAGACAATTTGCCTTAGGAGTTTGAAGAACTGCTTGCTTCTGATGATTTTCTTTAGCTAACCAATGAGTGTTTGCGTTCTATGACTCATCCAATTACACTAGTTTTCACTAGATGTGGTGACCCAATGATCTGCATTGGATGGCGCACATGAAGTTATATAAATATTTATTAACATTAAACTGAAGCCAAGAGTAACGAGTAACGTTTGTTTTAAAAATGTAAGGAATAGAAAGTACAGATACTGTGTGAAAATGTAATGAATAGACGTCAGAAGTAGGAAGAAAAATAAGTAATGGAGTAAAGTATAGATACCTAAAAAGTGTACTTAAGTACAGTAACAAAGTATTTGTACTTCATTACTTGACAACTCTGAAACTGAGGAGCTGATGGCCTAACAAAGGTAATTCCAAGACATCATAGTTTCATTTAGGAAAAATACAACACAAAACAGCATCTAAAGCTCCACAGGTCTCACTTTCATCAGTTAAGGTCAGTCCTTGTGATTCATCAATAACAGGCTGAGTTCACAGCCATAAAGAACGACTGCCCCACATTTTCTAAAGAGCATGATGATCATGATGATCCAGTGGGCTTTATTATAGAAGAACTACTTCATCAGCCAAACTTTGTGGGTGTGGGGCTATGATTGTCTGATGTTTCAGGAACCGGGCAACTTTTCACGATTAAAGGTACAATGAATTCTGCTCTCTACCAGAAAATACTGAAAACATCCATTTGGCTTTGCTTAACGCATTTCTGCTAAGAAAAGGGATATAAGTTTCCTTTGGTGAAGACTTGTTGCAGGTGACCAAAGACCAGCCTCACATCAACCTTTTTGTGGGATTTTTGTGTTGAAGGAAGTTTTAGGAAACGACTGTTCAGCGTCAACAATATGTTGTATAAAGCCAGGCGTACAGTGTACGATTTTTTTCAGTCATTGCACGCAGCTGCAGCTCACACTGTACGACGAGGGTTTCAACGTACAGTGTGAGTTCACAGCTTGTGTGTGGCCCGACGCTCTGATCCGATCTACCTGCTCACACCGCACGTCTAAAAACCACATTGGACTCAGCCCCGGAGAAGAATGGCACTACTGGGACTCATCTATCCAGAAGCCAAACCAGTAGAAGTGAAATATGAAACTCACTAGAGTGAAACGCTCTGCCTTGGCAATTTTGTGCTGAAAGCCCTAAAAAGAAATGGCGACAACGTATTTGGACAAAGACATGGATGAGCAAACGTACTCTACTAGCTACTACGGTCTGTCATTTTACAGAAAGAACTCCATTTCCGTCGCATCACCGCCATGCTTCTGTGTTTTCATCTGAGAGGAAGAAGAAGAGTCCTTGTTCGTGCATGCCGACTGAGCGATTTGCCGAAGACGATCAACTGAAAATCAGACATGTTTGATTTTCTCTGGACCTTATGATTCCTGATTGGGAGGTGGTCATGAGAGGCCGATCCCCCCTCGTTACCCCTTGTACACTACATGACGCACAGTCAGGCTGAAAGTCGGGCCGATCGGAAAATTCTCGCATGACTGGAAAGTTGCCCCAAAAGCTGCCAAGCTTCCATATAGCAGACCATCACCTAAAGAACAGTTACATGGTAAGCTAACCTTTGACCTCTGGACAGGATTTCATTAGATTTTTTTACTTTACCTTTTCTTAAAGATATAGTGGAGGATTTTCGCAAATTTTTGAAAAGACCTGCCCTCTCCCCTTTTAAAAAGAATGCACAAGCACAACCCTGTGCCCGCTCCCGAGAGGGTACGCTCTATATGCTCGCACGTACAGCGAGCATCCTCTGTTTAAAAGCTGCTGTTTCGCTCAAACAAGAAAGAAGATTTGCCATTTTTCCACTATGTCAAACTCACCACCGATATGTGAAAATGGGGACGAGCACATAGGACAACCTTATATCATCATATCGCCAGGATAATTGACAATTAGGAGGATTAACTTATTGGTGATCCACCCGGAAAAACGAAAATCCTCCATCTTTAACTTGACAATAATGAAATAATTGGTCTCTCTATGTCCCATATATATTCATTATATTCGAACTTTCTAATTTTTAAATTGTTCTGAGAAACTTTGACTTGTTATTATACATTAAAAATTGGAAATGCTTAGGAAAGACTGAAAAACAAATGATTATGATCACTTTTTAAATTTGAAGTAGATTCTTAAATCTGTTTCAAGCATAAAACCAGCAGAACAAAGACATTTTTTTTTTCTTCAGTTTATTGAGCCTTTGTCTTTTCAGTAATATGGGTTTTTTTTTTATTTCTTGTTGCGGGTTTTCTGGCCTAATGTCTCTGTCCTAAGGGATCAATGAAGATTAACATCTATCCTGAGGATGGAGCCTGTGAAAGTTTCTTCCTCTTAAATGAGTGCATTGATTCAAGAATCCCAATGGCATCCTAGCAGTACAGACAGATAGAAATAGTCAAAAAAAAAGACATGCAATCAGGGTAAAAGGTCAAATACCCTGAAAAAGTCACCTTGGTTGTTACGACTTCATCACCTGAAACAGGAAGCATTAAAAGGCTGGAAATACACATCGCTGGTGCAGAGCTGTTGTTCTACATCATTCATTATTAATTAATTCTTCATATCGATTGTGTATTTATCTAAGGGGGAGGGGGGTGTCTGAGGAAGCTATAGGCTACAACAACCAGCTTTCCCTCCCTGCATGGCGTCTTATCTGGAAGACTGATGCATCTGAAGGATGGCTGACAAGCAGACAGAAAAATGAGATGTGACAGGACAGAACAAAGGCTTTCTTTGTGGCCTCAAATCCTGCACTATTATTAAGGGAAGAATTGAAACCAATTTGAAGAAGCTGTGATTTAAATTACAAAGCTGAGCATTACACCAAGCTGTGAAGGGTTTCAGTGCAGGAAAATGCCAACACATGCATCAGCTCCATCGGACGTGGAAGGGGGCAATGCATACTATTTAATACCAGCAATAGAAATAGTGGTCTTGAATTCTCTCGATATAATACTGTAAGATTAAGTTTATTGAGTTTTGAATATTTCTTACACCAACTGTGCATTTCTAAATATACTTTCTACACATGTAAGCCATTCACCGATCAATCCATCCATATATAGACCTACCGTATCTTCTTAGCTGCGTTCTGTATTTATGTCTTAAAACTTGCAAAAAAATGTGAATATTTTGTAATTTTTGAAATGAATATTGTATAATATCCTTGTTGGTAGCATTAACCTGCGTAAAGCTCCAAAGGTAAATTCACTTTTATGGTAAAACTCTGGTAATTTAGATGATCCACTGTAGAACTCCAACATTAAGCTCCTGTTTAATTGTTTTAAATACCATATTTGTGTGGTTAGACATGGCTGGTGCCTCTGCAGAGCAATTAGCAACACCAGGTAAGTGCAACCTTTCTAAGCCAGTTTTTTTACACAAACAGCTTTATCCATTTTTACTAGAATTCTGAATGAGTCTATTGAGCATTTTTTTCCCTAAATCTTAGCCTTCAACCTACAACCTTCCAGTGCTAATTAATGTTTGAATGTAGTTGGACACAAAAAGAAAAACTTGTTTTTTACTGGGTAAATTTAAGTTATAGACAAAGATCCAAACAAAAAGGATGGGATAATATTCATCACCTCAAATGCTGCATATCAATGTCAAATTGTCTTAGTCTTAACACGCGGAGCTTCTTTGATAGCCCATAATCACTACAGGTATTTGCCATTAATGGTTGTGTGTGAGCAACTAGTGTGTTTAAATAATATCACATAAGGGAAGTAAACACAACTATAACTCATCCTATGGAGTCTCAATGTTTGCAAATCACAGAGACATACGGTTGCTTAAAAAAAGCATCTTACTAATAAAAAAGGTGCAGCAAAGGAAGCCAGACAGCTTTACATTTTTAGTGTTGCCTCATCTATACTTGTCATGAATCAGATTTTAGAAGCCGTTTTTCATCGAGGAGAAAGAAAAAAAGAAATGACACGCAACACTTCCTGTGCAGTAAAGCATCTAGACGACTGAGTCTGAAAAATGAATCAGGGCCTGCAGCCAGAGGTTTTCCACCGCAGCTACATCCAGTAACATCAGGGTTATTTTTAGCATGCCTTGTCAGACAGGAGGAGAGGAGAAACCCCCTTTTGTAAGAAGAGGGAAGTTAGCGAGAGGCTACATGTTTGGCCTAGAGAAGAGTGTACACATTTGGATATGAACAGCCGGATAGTGGACCTGAATTAATATTTTGGTTCATATTAATTTTTTTCAATGGACAATGGTGAAGCTTTGTATTTATACCTGTTACATAAAAAAGACAAATTTTGTGATTTCTTTAATCATCAGGGCCTCTTTATACCAGTCTAAATTACATATTCAGTTATTCTTTATATAATTTTGTGTGAAATGGCCATTATGCTTCGATCTGACTAACTATATGATTGGATTATATTCAGGATGGATGGATGGATGGATGGATGGATGGATGGATGGATGGATGGATGGCAATTTGAACCAAATTTTATTTGGATAAATGAATGTAAGAAGAGATACTGGATAAACACAACATTTGGGACTATCAGATAGAAAATAAAGTCTAGAAACACATATATCTAACTTTAACAATAAATACAAGCCCTGACTTTTTTCAAAATGAGTAGAAAGCTGACTGGGATAAATTGATTAATCCATGCCTATATAAATTGGACCTGTTGATGTTGTGCGTTACCTACAAATGATGTGTAAGATTTTGACTATAAACAACCAACATTGAGTCTTTTTTCCTGCGTTCCTACCTGAACTCTGGATCCAAGTTGGACTTTAGACCGTAAAAAGCAGCTGATAAGGTCAGAAGCCAGCGGGGAACAAAATTCCCATTCTCGCACTCCAGAAAAGGCGCAGACCACTTGACGTGCGTTCTGTCCGGGATGAAACTCTCTGCAATTTCTGGAGATCTGCCTCGCATGTTCAGAACCCTTCTGTGGAACACAGGCTCCTTCTTTTCCTTCATCCCGTGGTACCACTCCGTATCTGCGGTGCGGTTGTGCAGATGACGGTGCGCCATGCGGGAGAGGTCTTGGAGCACAATCTCCCCGTCGGCCCTGGTGGCTTGGAGGAGCACCGGGGGCCCCGCGAGCGACGCTTCCCCACCAAAAGTGACCACCGCCCGGTGGATCTTAGCGTCCCCTTCCAGGATGCTCCTCACCAGTGCATGGTACCACTCGATGTCCCTCCGCAGGTTGTGCTCCTTGGACCTGTTGGCTTGAAGGATCATGTTAAGGAAGTTAGTGGCGTGCAGCACCGTCTCCAGCACGCCGCTCATGGAGTAATGCGGGGTTTCGTGTGACCTTCCCCGCATCAGAGAGGTGAGCTCGTACTTTCTTGAGCAGTTGGCGTGCTTTAAGGTGGTCGAATCCCCCGTATGTAAGAAAGCCGTGACCACCCGGGGCAGATGATCTTCTGATTTCTCTCCGGGAGCAAGGCGAGGTGCGCGGAGATGCGCCAGCCGAGCGCCTGGGATCTTTTCCGCCGGTGATGCCCCGATAGTTGACCGGTCAGCGTCTAAGCGGTTCGACCCGATCACAAAGCCCACATGCAGCAGCAACGAGAGCCGGAAAACAGCCATCTCCCCTGCAGAAAGCGTCCACAGCTGTCTGAAGATGAGGCGCGGAGGATATTACAGCGTCGTCAGGCGGGCGTGATGTGAAGAATCAACCAAAACTGCTCCTCTAAACCATCGCATCACCACTTGTAGGATATTTCGGAAACCCACACACTTCTGTTGATGAAATCAGAGAGATATTCCTTGTTTTTCTTTTCACAGGTACCTCCTACAGCTTGTTGATGTTGAAGATCCCTCTTCAGTCTTCGTTCTGCTGTGCGGTGGATGTTCTCCCCCTGCGTGTGGGCTACATACACTGAATCAAAACGACGCGGAAGGGAGGGGAAAAGAGCCTTGTAGTTATTATATTTATATATTTTTTTCAAGAGTCAGGGAGCTCCTCACTTGGGTGAACAAAACGCACTCCGCCCTCTTCCGACCGCGGCAAATACCGAGCGGACCTATAGAAACCAGGGAGAGACGCGTAAGGATCGGAGCGCCCCCTCCAAGACCCGTCTTCCCCAGCACCTCATAGGGGGCTCCGGGAGCGGCATCGATCCGCCTTTGGTCGCCTCTTCTGTCAATCAACCAGCCGCGTTCGGTGGAGCGGGGAGAAGGAGCTGTCCATGGTCCTGAAGCAGACGCTTCAGGACCATGGACAGCTCCATGGCGGAGACGGTTCGGTGAAATTCACCAGGAAACCTCTATTTTTTTTTTTTATCTAAATGGCTTCTGATAAAACAGACTATTTAGATATAACCAAGGAAATACAGGACAAAATAAGGCACATTTTCATCCATTTAGATGCTTGATTCATTGAAGAGATTATTAAGGTTTATTACACGCATCGTGACATCCCAAACATTTATTTCTGTTCATTTTACATGGCGGGGCTCACATCTAAGGTTGCCAAGGAACCTGAAACTGACGGTACAATTCGGAAAGTCTCTATAGAAACCTGTTATGGGATATCTTGGAAATAATAGTGCCAAACAAAATCTAGAATTTTTTTTCTAGGTAACTTAACCTAACTTACCTAAAGTATATAACGATATGCACAACAAATGTCATCTCAAGGATAAGATTTGTGGATATAGGCTAGGTAAAAAGCACTCACAGACCTCAACCAATTAACTTAGTATCTCACAATGTCGCAAATATTTTTCAGAAAGGCTTTCTCCGGATCATAATCCGGATCACCAACTTGTGAGCCATGAAAGGAAAAAAAATAAATTACCTTCTTGGTGTACTAATTAATAATGGGCTATTAGAGAAGAATATTTAAAGTCATATGTAGATGAAGGTCGTGTTATGTAATAATGTTTATCGGCAAATATTTTATTTAATCAAAATATATTTAGTATCACATTTGTTCTTTGAACACATTTAAAAGAGTAAATCAAGCACAAATTATGGTCAAATAGATAACTCTGCACGTGTTGAATATTTTACCACGACTTCTATTCAAAATGTAACAGTTTATCAACAAAAAACATTGAGCCTCAAGTCAAACATGTTCATGTTATAAAACTTAAACTAATTTACTATGTGCACAAAGAAGAAGAAAAACATGTGGCTAAAAACCATAATCAATAAAGTAAGGTGATGATATCACATTTCATCATGGATTTTAAGTCAGAGAACCAAAGTTTATCTCAAAGAGTTTGAAATTTGGTTAAATTAATTCACAATGCAAATACAAGAGGCAAATAAACATTTGGCAAGATAATGTTTAAATAATATGATTTATCAGAAACCAATAACCTTTAGTTAAATTATTCTTAAACTTCTGTGATTGAGCTAGCTGTCAGGATTTGGTTGAGGTTTGTGGACCCAAATGCAGAGGCAGGGAGGCAGAGGTGAGTTTCTTGATGATTTAATGATGAATAAACAAACAACTTAACATGGAGGCAGGAAATCCAAGAATCCAAAAATCAAAACATGAAAAACAAATTCAAACAAACCAGGAACCGTGGAGACATCAGGGGGAAGACTATCACGAGGAGGAAGACTCAGAGAGATGGAGTTGGAGGAAGTTTGACAAGGAACCAGCACAGAGGAACTGAACAGAGAGTGTATTTATGGGAGACTGAAACAAAGAAAGGAGTAACAAGCAAATTAGGAGCAGGTGTGAAGAGAGCAGACAGAAAAAGAGCTAGAGAAAGAGGAGAACACAAGAGGGCAGCAAAGGGGGGGAAAAAAACTGAAAACAACCAGAAAACACAACAAAATAAGAATTAAACCACTAAAACAAGAAAACATGGAGAAAAGTAAAAGTGAAAACTCAAAAGAAAACATAACAGAACCAGAACTATGACACTAGCAGCCGCTAGACATGGAGGGACTCCTCTTAAAGGACTCTTTGGTCATATTCTGGTTTAATGAGCATATAAGAAAAAACATAAATGTTATATTAGTGTTTAAACTATGTGAGCATAGCGTACCATGTGACCCAAATTCTTAATCTGTGTTACACAACAGTAAACACATGAAACGTTCAAAAATCATCAAAAAGCCAAACCTCTGCTGATCTCTAGCAAAAAATAAAAAATAAAGAAAGAAATGCAACACTTCCTGTGCAGTAAATCACAGTTGTCTCTAGTAATCAGCAGCATGTCAGGCCCAAAGCATGTTTTTTTGTTCTGAAATGTTTAACTTCTCCTGTTTTTTGGCACCTTAAACTTCCTTTAAAGCATCTTTGTGTTGATTGTGTTGTCCTAAAGCACCATGGGGAAGGATCACATGTCCCCTGTAGGAGTGTCAGGTGAGAAGAGGTTTGCAGAAGTTGAAGTTTGGTTATGCAGAGCCAGCTTCATCATCTTCAATCCTGGTCAATTTATAAATCAATATGGCCATTTGTCAACATTATCCAAAATTGAAGTTACCTTTTATAGAGCCCTGGTGCCCCTAGAGAGACATGCCTTACACTATAAAAAGCCTTTACTCTGAAAAGAATCATTCATTGCGATTATTATCCAGATCACCACAACAATGTAATGCGTTTAATGTAAGGTAAGATAGACGTGTGGTAGAAATTTCTAAGCAGTTCGCCAATGACTTCATTTTTTTTTACAGAATCTTGCAAAACTGACAAACCAACCAATGCTGCCAATTAATTACCTCCTTAGTGGAGGAAATTGCATTGAAATCTGTTATATAGGCACATTTAATTATTGTAATTTATTTACAATCATCCAAATATGTCCTTAGTTCCAATAAAACACCATAAGATTTAGTAGTTAGTGGCCATAGCATGAAGTCTCTGACTTGAAAACATTCCCTTTCGAATCAAAACATGGCAACAGTGGGTAATTAATAATTTATAAAGTCATTGCAATCAACTGACCAGTCTTTAATGATTGCATTGAGGTGCTAACTTTTCAGCAATCCCTTACCAGAATAAGAATATAATGACAGTGGCTTATTGACTATATCAAGGCATTGCATTCAACTGCTGCTGCTTTAGTGATTGCAACAAGTTGTTGACTTGCAGCAATCCCTTACATGAGTAAACATGTGACAACACTGGACGATTTAATTTCTCAATCCTTTCACTTACTAATCTCTCTTCCTTGGCATGTTGTTAAAAGTGGACAGACGGTTACATCGACTGGTTGACTTTGCAACAATCCCTCCACCTGAGCAAGCATATGGCAATAGTGAACAGTGACTTCATTGAGTTGGTAACCTTGCAGCAGTCTCTCCCCCCCTAAGTGAGCATATAAAAAACAAAAGGCACTGTTGCATCCAGTAGTTTAGTTTGCAGCAATCTCTATTCTGGGTAAGTTAGAGGCAGCTTTTAATTATTTAATGCATCTAAACAATGACATATTATTAATTATAAATCCCTCCTCAGACAACAAGACAATGCTCATAGTATACAATCGGTTGAATTGATTTCATGATTTTTCATCAGTTCCTCCTCCTAATTGTGCATGTGGCAGCAGTGCATGCTTGATTGTATCGATTTACTGACCCTGCAGCAATCTCTTTTCTTTAGAGAATTTGTGGTAACCATACACTTGTTTGCAATAAGAAATTGAATTTGCAAACATGGTAAATGGCCTATACTTACAGTATATAGCATCTTTTCAAGTCAGGGGAATCAGCACTTTATGCAACATTCCGTCATCCACCTATTCTCACACACACATTTAAACACCTAAATCCCATCAATTGGGCCCTCGATCCAGCATAACTGATTCAAATAACTGCATTAACTTCTCAGCATACCATCAAGTTCTATGGAAATAATACCATGATGTAGTTTAATTAGAGAAACATTACAAACATGCATGAGTAGGCCTTGAGGACTGGGACCAGGGGCTATTAGATATACAAATGCAGACAGGAAACAGTTCTTTAACAAAAATGTTATCAGCAGAACACTAATGCAGTAAAAAAAAAAAGAGCATGTCGCTTCTCAACACAGTTACAAGTTGGTTTTGTTTATGTGAAAGCTGACTTCAGTTCTGGGATACTGCCAGCTTTCACAAGGGGTTAGAAGTATATGAGGTAGTAAAAATCCCTCTAGACTTTATTTTAAAAAAGATTAAATGACTTACAGAGTTTGGTACGCACTTGTATCGAAATACAAAAAAAATAAAAAAATTAATCAAAATGCAACATTTTTTCAAAGTACAAACTAGATCTTACTAGTAGCTGCCATATAGTAGGTCAGCAGATCAACAGTTAGAAACTTTAGAAATTAATTTAAAAGTAAGATAATAGAAATGTGAGATTGTTTATTTTTTCCTTTGCTTAGCATGGAATAAATAAAAATAAAATGCTAATCAGTCTGTTAATTCAATTTCTTACCCAAATTAATTCATATGCTTTATAAATTAATCTATCAGGAGCTTAATGAAGCAGTTTTGTTCATTTTATCATAAACTTATTTGCTTTTAAGGTTCCATTCTTGAATTGTATCTGTCTTTCCGTTTACATCCATGGTGTTTGGAGCTTTCACATCATGTGGCATGGCATATTTTCCAGTGGTAAGAGAAGACAGGTGTGGCAGAGGGTGACAGAGTTTAGAGCCAACCTTAGAGCTGGGCTGAAGGATGAAAGATTCTGAAAGTCTGAACAGTTTTCTCTTAGCTTTTCTTTCTCGAACAACATTTGGCTTCTCTCATATTTTTTTTTATAGTTTCTTCAAGTATAGCTGTTGGGCCACTGTTTTTAATCACCAATAGAATCAGGCTGATATAGTTTCTGTGTTCCTTAGCCTCTCAGGTTCTGGATATTGCAAAGTTCATCTTCAATTCATACCAAAAATGACTCTTTCCCCCTCTCTTTTGAACTTTTCATTTGTTTTTGTTTTTTGTATAGAAACTAGCAAGAGGGCAACTACAGTAGTGTCCATAAAATGGGGAGGAAGTGTGACCTCAAACTAGCACCAGGAAAACGTCTCCTACAAGTGAGAAAGGTTTTACTGTAATGTGGATTTGTTTCCTACGGAGCCCCTCTGATGACATGGTCAAAAAAAATTTTTTATTGTGACCACGAAGTAGTATTTCGTGC